GGATGCCTATCAGCTTCCTTGCGCTCAGCTTCTGGGTGACTTGGGTCGAGTGGCTTGGCCCTAAACGGCCCTAAACCTTAAACCCTAAACCCCCCTAAACGGACCTAAACCTTACCCCCCAACCGACAAATTCTAGCTTCTTGGGGGGCGGGCTCCTTATCAAGCCCAAAAACTGCCCACCCCCAACTCCAAGAGCAAGACATACTCAGCCCTGAATCTTGATGGAAGATCTCCATTGTTTCCTGCTCTGAGAGTCGAAAGGGCTTAGATTTGGGGTTTGGGGCTTCATGGGAGGGTTCCCCCTTTACTAACTTGGATCCTTACATAAGTCTCCCATTTCTTTGTCTATGTCGTGGGGTCACTCTTCGCAGCCGGGTGCTTTTGTGCGATCACTGCCGAGCCTGAGCCTGAACCTTAAAACTCTCGAGCTTTGACCGCAGAGGCCCCTTGGAACTCTGCAAAGCTTGGGCACCAGACTGTTCAGGGTTTACGGTGGGAATTCCGATTCCCAACCCTCCAATGAAGCTTCCGGCTCGAAAGCACCAAGCCCCCCGCACCTCCATCTGCAAATCCACAGCCAAGCCATTCCCCTAGAGCCCCTAAAGCCCCCCAAAACCCTTGAACCCATCTGAACCCAAGCTTTCCAACCAGAACCCCGAAACTCCAAACCTCTAAACCCGACCTCTGGATCCACCTGCCTGCTGTTTTTGAAAGCCTTTACCCTCCAATCTGGAGCCGAGGCTTCCGAAAAGGCTTCTGCGTGCTGATGCAGCTTATTTCAGGGCTTGCTTCTCGGCTGACCTACCGGACCCTGAAAGCATGTAGAGTAACAGCCTTTTATAGGTGTTGGGCCATTATTTTACCTACTTCGGAGGGTTCAGATGGAGTTCAGGGTTTCGGGGTCAACGAACACACCAGGCCCCTAACATTTATTATGCATTCACATCCCTTACCCCTTCAGGCCAGACTTCTTCAGCATTCCAGGAAAACTACAGGAAAACACCTTTGAAGCTAAGAAAAGCTAGAGGAAGCTGTATATTTCTCACAGTGATGTTGCGACTGGAACTTGGAACAGTGGTTTAAGGTGTGGGGGTTCCCGGTTATCGAGGGTTCAGGGCTTAGGTTTTGGGAAAAAGGTTGAGGGTTTCGGGTTTAGGGTCAGGTTCATGTCTCTGGTACAGATCTTGAGGTTTGGGCTTCGCTGGCGGTCATCAAGTCCGGTTTCAACAGGACTAGGGCAGGCTTTAAGGATTTGGTAAAGGGTTGAGGGTTTAGGGTTCGGGTTCAGTGATTTTCAAATAACTCCACGTAAGCTTACAGAATTCCCACCAAAAACCTAAACAAAAATTAAGGAAAACCGAAAAATCGCTAAAAACAGTTAAACCTTTCCCAGTACTTTATGGTTCGGCCAGGGAGGATGCTGAAGCGGAAAGGTTTCCGTCTATTCCCAAATTTGTAACAGAGAGGGTCCCGGATCTTCCAAAAGCTGTAACACAGAGGGCCCCGGGTAGTCCAGAATCTGTAACGGAGAGGGCCCTGCGTAGCACAGATGTGCGTAACATGTATAACCCAACTTTAGCACGCTGGATTCTCAGCAAAAGATTTATTTAGCTCATGGGCCTTGCATCAAAAGAATTTCCTAAGGTTTGTCTATGTTTATTTCCTTCCATGGTGCTCCGAAGATCGAAATTAAAAATCATTCCACCCCTCCACAAACAGAAGCTCTGCCCAAAACCCCTTGAGCAAAACCAGGCCCAAACCCTGTAAAAATACTTGAACAGAAGCCTAATAGGATCCCTTGCGCGTCCCCAAAGTCTCAGGTGCTTTCCTTTGGTCGCGGTTCCGGCCGGGAGCAGAACTCTACTCAGTTTGGTACCTCACACGAGCCTCGGATGAACAAGCGAACGCTTCAGTCGCATGCTTTACAGGGCGTTGCCTTCAGGGTTACGCAAAAGGGTTTAGGGTTATCGGGCGCAGCACTATCAAGCATGCGAGTTCGCTGTTTTATTTAGGGGTTGCCAACGAATGTTTGCCTGAATGGTTTATTGTATTATCTTCCTTCAAGGGGTCTGCTATGCGGCTTGTGAGTTACAGGGCTTAGGGTCTAAGGCTATTTCGGGCTTTAGTGTTCAGGATAGGGCCTCAAGAATGCAGAGACCTGCCGAAGAGCCCCCACATTGAAATTCCAATACCAAAGGAGTCGCATCAACAAAAACCCTAAACCCATAAACCTGGAATCCTGAACCTTGAACCCAGGTGTATCTGAAGCAGGTGATACTCTAGTACACCAGTGTGGTTTAGGGCAGCTTGGACCTTTCTACTCTACTCTAGAGTTCGGGGGGGGGGGGGGTAAGATTTCAGAAGTAGGGGGCAGAAGAAGGGTCGATGGTATTCCTCCACCTGCGAAAAAGTTCTACTCCAAGCTGCTTGCGAGCCGAAAGAATTTCAATCAAAGCAAACAGCTGTAGGCTAGTGACAGTTCAGGAGTTGCTATGTTCCGAATAGTTAGCAGTAGGTTTTCGTCACAGTCCCCATCTAGTCATGACTATGATGATTGCAATGACTACAGCATACGCCCAAATCCGCCTCCAATTCTGAAGACTCCTACATGATTTGATCCTCCTGCGGGGGGTCGAAATAAATCGTAACAGTAGTCCCTGTTGTCTTTAGTGCAAATTATGCAACAATATACCCCAACTCCCCTTTTAATGGTTTAGACCCTATATTGCACCCGCGAGCCCGGTCCATTATTTTCAACCGTGGTCGCAGGAAATGCGTTGATCGCGCTAGTTCCGTTGCTGCCATCGATGGCTGCTCAGATTGTTGCAATGCATCCTGGCAAAAGCTAGTAGTTGTGAAGTGGGGCTTTCAACTTTGTTTTCGGCATGAGGGTTCAGCGACGGTGTTGAGATTCGGGTTCTGGGTTTTGGAAACATGTATCGGGGTGTAATTAGGCATCATGCCACGACCTGAGCCGAGCTTGAACTCTGGAAAGGGTCGCAAGTAGGATGCATCTAGGCTGCTGGTCTGCTGCACTTCAGCAGACGGAGTTCCGAATGAGCCGCCGTGCAGCATGAACGCAGCACTGAGTAACAGCAGCGACACCCAAAGTCGTAGCAACGATCCCGGCAGCCCCAGAAGCAACCTGAAACAATTTTGGTAGTAGAAGAAGGTTTAAGCTGTGGCAGAAGACACGGGTTTTGGGAACAGCTTGCATTCCCTCAAAGCCCATCTGTGCGTAATATAGACGCCTCAATAACTACCTAGTTTATTCAAGAGGCTCCTTTTTACGTTTAGACTCTATATGTAGTATACTCCAAAACCGCAGCTTGCCGTAATGATTCTGGACCCTTTATTGGTTAGATTTCCCCTTAGGTTACCGGGAAGCCCGAGCTTCGTGCAGCCGGTTTGATCAAGTCCCTACGGTTGATGATACAAATCCTGCATTACCCACAATAAGGAATATACCATAACTCCCATAGTTTGGGGTCCTTAAGGTAATGCAGGATTTATATCACAAACAGTATGTATACACCAACATAGCCCCCGAACGGGGATGAATTGATCCCGAGTCCTAAGCCAAGCGATCTTCGAGGAATATGATCCTCTACTCCAGTGTGGTGGTGGCTCCTTGGTTGGCTTGTCAGCTGCCATAAACCACAAACAGAGGTCTCCGAGGTGTATGAAGGGTGTCATCAAAACCCTGAGACCCTGATGACACGGTTTGGGGCTAAGGGTTTAATGCACGCCCCATACCAACCCCTGAACCCTCAACCCAAACCCTAAACCCGGCAAATCTCCGAAAGCACTATAGACCGCGAAACCCCTGATCCCTACCAGCCCTTATATAGACTCATATAAACTCCAAGCCAATCTTTCGGGCCGAGCCCGCGATTCAAATGACGCCGTGGGTATATGTCATGATGGCACGCCAAAAGCAAAGTTACGAAACCCTAATCCCTACTTTGCTCAAGGCTTCACTCTGACACCGGAGTTTTTTTTGTAGTATCCCCTTCTAAGCCCCATAGATGAGACTAGATATACCATAGCCAGCCCGATTCTGAAGCATTAAAACCCTGTATTTCCAACTCCAGACACCCGCGTTAAATCCGAGAAAGCCCAATCGTTACCCATAGGCTCCATAGTAGTTCCTTGTGGTGGCTTGTATTTAGGATGCTCTAAGGTAATCCCAAAAAGGAACTGCTAGGGAGCCTATGGGTAACCCGCCTCTATTGCAAGCTCTGGCACGAGAGGTTTCCTTGGTTCAGCCCTGGCGTTTCCTCGCCGGCAACGCCTTGGATGTCATGCTCCACGTCGGCTTGCTGGCAACCTGTCGGGAGGTGAGTGTGAGGATGCCGAAAATTTGAATTCTTGAGGCTTTAGAGCTTTTGGCTTCCCTAAACCCTAAAACCCCAAACCCGAAACCCTAAAACCCTAAAACCCGAAACCCGAAACCCTAGACTCCTCAACCCAGAAGTGACTGAGCGGTTTCAGGCTTCCCTGCCAGGACTCCCCGGGCTAGGAGTCGGCAGAAGGTGTTGACAAGAACCTCATCCCCGCGCCCTAATTACGCGCTTTTTTGAGGCTCCTCCTCCTCCTCCTCCTACTACTACTACTACTACTACTGCTACTGCTACTGCTGCTGCTGCTGCTACTACTACTACTACTACTACTACTACTACTATTACTACTACTAGGGTTGACAGGCTTGGGCTTTGTTTGGGGGTTTCAGCGTGGGGTTCGTTGTTTGGGGTTTCCTCTGCAATAAGGAGGATCCTATCATGTACCTATACACCTTTGTAAAAGATATGTGAAACCATCATAAGCAAAGCGCCCCTAAAAACGCAGCCCTACCTTCAGGCGTGTCTTGTTGAAGGTTTCTCAATGGCCTAGGATGGCCATGTCCCTCTTCCGAAAGCAGACAACCAGGCCCGTACTCCTCAAACCCAAAACCCAAAAACCCCTAAACCCTAAATCCCTTTCCTGAGGTAGTCCTGGACATGGCCTCAACTTTTGCAGGGGCGGAGGCGGACAGTGGCACATCCGTCGTGATGTGTTTGCTGCTCGCCCACAAACCGCTCGTTGCTGGGGGATTACGAGCTTGTAGGGTTTAGGGAGTACTGGGCTGAGGGGTTTAGGGTTGAGGGTTTTGTGGTACTGTTTAAGGACATATACAAGGAGGTCATCATGGAACGCTTGGGCAATGTTTCTACACGCCGGGTTTAGGAGCTGGAGTTTATTGTTTGGAATGCATGGGTTTGGGTCTTAAGCTTTTGGGTCTAGGGTGGCTGCCTAATGTCGGGGCCTGAATAAGTGCCAATACTCTTCGTTCGGATTTCTTAAACCCTAAACCCCTAAACCCTAGACCCTAAACCCCTAAACCCTAAGCCCTAAACCCCTAAACCTCTAAACCCCTAAGCACCCTAAGCTTCCCTAAAAGCCGAGGTTCTTTCTCTTGCTCATGGGCCTTGGAGTGATCGGTGCCATGGCGCCCTGGCCTCATTTAAATTACTAGGGATCTATAGTAGTTAATGGGGTTTCTTTGTAGTGGTAGCTTAAATTGATAGGGATCTATCTTCGAAAGCCTATCAAGCGTAAAACTCTGGGTTTAGGGTTTGGGGTTTAGGGTTTAGGGGTTTAGGGGTTAGGGGTTTAGGGGACTAGGGGTTTAGGGTCAAGCAAAAGCAACCTCAACCCTAAGCCTCAAGCCTCCTGAGCCCTCTCTAGCCTAAATCATAGGCAAGAGAGGATCCTGCAGAGAGAAGCTTGCTACAAAGACCAAACACCCCAGGGTCGTCGATACAAGCGTGCTTTATGATAGAAAAACCGATTAAAAAAGCTTGTGTTAAACAGCGTCGAAAACACTGTCCCAAGGGCCCAAGCGCCCAACAACCATATATACGTTCGCCCCCCGCGCCCCCCCCCCCCCTAAAAGAAGCCCTTCACCGTATACCCGCTTGTAAAACGGTAAGAAGCAGTCTCTCTCGCCAAGGCCTATGGGGTGATCCTCCATGTTGCACGTGGGCGCCGGAAGCCCTGGCACTTCTTCCTTTCCCACCAGATACCCGGGAAAAAACAACTATTGAGGTAATGTTCGGATTTTTCGGGTTCTTCAGGAGTTGGGTATTCGAACTGGGAGCCTTTATTGCTCAGGGTCGTCGGAGATGGGTGTTTTAGGAGGTCTTGTAGGAAGAATGGGTATTACAGGCGCCCTCTAAGGGTGTCTTAAAAAGCGTTTGGGATGGATTCTGTATGGGTGTTATTTGGTTTTTCGCACTTGGGATGTAGCTTTGTTAAAGCCCTTTACTTAAAAAACAACCTTCTCTTGGCTTCAGCTGCCAAAACATGCTCCGAACATTTGATTCAGCAACACACACAGACACGCACACACCCACACACACACACACACACACTCTCTCGAAAACCCTGAACCCTGACTAATTCTAAACCAACATGCCGAAAATCCTAAACCTCCATGCCTATACCCTAAGGGTCCATGTCCCTAACCATCATATACTCTCCCAACTAGTGTTGTGTACCTAATCACCGGGCCCAAATCTTAGGTAGATGCCCCCTAAACCCTAAACCAAAACCCTCAATGCCTGTACCCATAGGCCCCTAAGCCCTAAGTAGTTCCTTTTTGGGATTACTTCATAGGATTCTAAATATGAACCATAAAAAAGGAACTATTTAGGGGCCTGTGGGTAAGCCTTGAATTCTGGCCACCCTTCCTAAACCCCTAAACCCTAAACCCTACACCTTTCAGCCCAGGAAGAGCACCCCTAAACCCTAAGCCCTAAACCGAAGCGTCAATTCTTGTTAGCCTTTAAGCCCAGGAAGAGCACCCCTAAACCCTAAACCCTAAACCAAAACCCTCAATGCCTGTAAGCCTTCAAGCCCAGGAAGAGCACCTCGGGGTCTCTGGCGCGGCTCCTGAAGATTCAGCTGCTGAAGAGAAGCTCTCGTTTCACGCAGCCTGGCTGGGTTCCCTTAAGGGTCCTTAAAGGCATCCTCGAATAGGGTTAATAATGGGGGGGGTCTAGGGATACAGGGTTGCTAGCGTTTTTCACGCAGCCTGGCTGCAAGCGGTTCTTGTTTTCGGGCTCCTATGAGGGTGCCCTTTAAGGGTCCTTTTTTTTGGCATCCTTCGAGGGTTCCTCAAGGATTACCTTCAGAGCAGGTTCCAAGGGTTATTATGAGGGTCTAGGGATACAGGGGTGTTGGGGTTTAGGGTTTTTTGCTGCAGGTTTCCTGGTTTGGGGGTCCGAAGGGGACCGATGGGGCAGGTGGGTGGTTTCTTATGATGAGGGTGCCAGCTGCCAAAGCACGGAAGTGTATTCGAGTCCAGTATTTGCGAAAGTCCCACTCGGATTTCACCTGTGTTATCTCCACGGGATCTGAGGTTCCAGGAATAAGTGTTACTCACAAAACAACCCTGCCAAGTAGGGGCCTTTGGTTTTCAGAGCCCCCCCCCCTCAGCCGAATATCACGCGAGTGGAGCGGGGCTTCCGTTTATTGGGTTTAGGGTTGTCGTCTTTGGCAGGGATGTGGAGCTTCAGGGCACAACATGCACTCCTTGAAAGCCTTGCAAGTTCACCGGGTGTTTGTTGGAAAGTCAGCCTAAGCCTTAGCCTAAGCGCTAAGGCATGAGTATTGCCACCGGAAGCTGATACTTGTAGGGTTTTCGGACTTTGAAGGACCTTCATGGACACAGACAACCTGCGTGACCTCACAGAGCTCTTCGGCTTTGTGCGGGACACCCATACCTTCGTGTCTTGCTCGCAAGAGTCTGAATAGGCAGTCTGCGCCCTGAACCCCACAAATCCGATCCTGGAGGACCCTGATCCTAAACGACTGTGTCAAGCTGCAAAACCCCGAAACACCACCGGGAACCATCGAAGATGCTGAAGGTCAATTTTTGCGTGGTGGAGACTTGGTAACTAGGGTTTGGGGGTTTCGGGTTTTGCAGTAGTAGCAAGTGCCCTTCCTAACAAGAGTTATGCAACACCAAATCGCCACACTTTCATCCGTCTACAAGGGGGATCGTGTTGATGTTCCGTGTTACAGTTTCAAGCGGGGGGGATACCTTTAAACCCCCACCTCTTTACCAAATAGCATTTGCCCTAAACCCTAAACCCTAAACCCCTAAACCCCTAAACCCCTAAACCCTAAACCCCTAAACCCTATTTTTAGCCAGGGGTTTTCGAGAATTCCAGGGAACCCCGGACTGAGCGCCCCTACGCTGCAAGTAGGTGCAGGTGGTGAGGAACTCACCGCAACCCGAAATCCTGGACCCCAGCACTCGTGGCACTAAAGCCCTAAACCCGAAACCCGAAGCCCTAACAATAAAGCCCTATAGAACCCTAACAATAAAGCCCTATAGGCCTATAGACCCGAAACCTGGGCGAGTGCTTTCTCCATGCTTGCTGATTTGTTGATTGCATCTTCTCAGACCCCAGGAGCCACATGCCTCGCCTGCAGTGTCTGAGTCAAAGCGCCGAAACCCGAACACTAAAGCCCTAAACCCTAACACTAAAGCCTTAAACACGAAACCCTAAACTGTTACCCCTAAACCCTAAAACCCTAAACCCCAACCCCAAAGCCCCAAACCCTCAAACCCTAAACCCTAAACCCCAGCCCCGAAGCCCTAAACCCTAAAACCCTAAGCCCCAAAGCCCTGAACCCGAAAACCTTAAAGCCCAACGCCAAAGCCCTAGAAACCAAAACCCTAAAGCCCAAGCAGTCGAAGCTCCCGCGCCCTTTGTCAGAGAGGTCTTTCTGGCCAGTCCCGGGATCGAACGACGGAAGTGGCAGCTGATTTGGATTTCGCGTTCTTCGTACATGCCATGCTATAGGCTAGTTAATGGTATAACCCAGGATAGTATAATCGTTCCGCAGTATATTTCCCGAAAGCTTCAGCGAAGGG